GGAGCAGATCAAATCTACAAAGTCCTAACCTGGGAAAGTTGCATGGGGAGTGGAGGAGAGAGCAGCCAGGCCCGGGGTTGTCCACCTGTTATCTCAATACTCAAAAGATGGAGGCCGGGCCAGAAGTTTAGGGCATAGTTTAGGGCGCATGCATAGTGAGATCAAGATTTGTCTAGACTACATGAAACCCTGCCTCAAAAAGAGAGACAGAGAAACACACATGAGAGAGAGAGAGAGAGAGAGAGAGAGAGAGAGAGAGACAGAGAGAGAGGATATGTTGGGGCCTAGAACCTTCCAGAGAGGCAGGCAGTAGTTGTGATCCATAGCCCACATTCTTCTGAAGGCTTTCCTGAGCAGGACTCAGGGTTCTGCCTTCACAGCTAGGAAGAAGCTGAACCATGTCATGGCAGGGACACAGATACTGATTTTAGGATACTCTCCAACTGTTTGAGTATTTCTGCCTATAGTCAATAAGAGACAGACGACTGTGCTGATAAAAGTCCCTTGTGACAAGAAGTAGCTATTTTTTTTTTTACCTCAAATTCAAGTGTGTTAGAACTTGGTCCAAGAATCTGACCAAACATGGATAACATGACTAACGCAGGATGGCTCAGACCAGAGCAGCAGGGCTCCTGAGCTGCGAGGTCCAGTCTAGCTCTGTCCCCGTGCTGAGACCAGAGGGCAGCAAATCACAGTTTCCCCTTTGTAATGGCAGAAGCCAACCAAATGGTGTCTAAAGACAGCCCATCTGCCTATAGCCCAAGCTCTGTTCCTCAGGACTGTGTGTGCCCTCTGTGGTGACAGCTGTCACTTGCTGCCACCGAGTCTCAGGCAATGCAGAGTCCATGATTGTAGACTGCCCTGGAAAAGAAAAATTATACCTATTTCCACAATTTCTCAGATGGAGGTGGATATCAGGCTACGGACGACCCTGAAATTAAGAAAGGACAGAGATATACCCAACTCAGAGAGGAGGGTCCTGCTGGTAGAAGCCCACACCTGTAGGTTCCTCACAAGGTGATCCCACCACCCGAGATGGGTTTCAGTGTGCTAGTGTGTGTGTGTGTGTGTGTGTTCAGGTGCACACGTGTCATTCTCAGGTACCACCCTCCTTGTTTTGTTGAGACAAGGTCTCTCAGTAGCCTGGAGCTCACTGATTAGCCTGGGCTCCTTCCCAAAGATCCTCTGTCTTTACCTCCCCAGACCAGGGATTATAAACTTCAACCAGTCCACCCAACATTTTCAAATTGGTTCTGGGATTAAAGTCAGATCTTCCTGATGGCAGGACAAGCATTTTACTGATTGAGCTATTACCTCAGCCCCACTTGGATTGGTTTTTAGATGTAGATTCCTGGGCCTTGCCTCAGACACACTGACTCTTCTGGGTCTTAGAGACCAGGCCCAGGTACCCAGCATCAGTGTCCACGAGCAGATGGTGCCTTTGCTGTCAGCTCTCTGGCTGCTGATAATTTGACCTTGAGATTTGCAACTTTGACTATTCATGATGTCAGCTTTGAACAAGCCTTGACTAGTTCATCCTGGGTTTGTTTCTGTCAGGGCACAGGGCTCCTACCGCAGTGTTTGTGTGTTCCTTGTAAATGCTTATGAAATGACCTAAGGTCACTGGGCACCCAAGGAAGTTTGGAACAATCGCCTTATCTCCAATAACCACCAGGCTCAGGGACCATTGCTGACCATTGAACCATTTTATAGCCAGCCCACACATGGGATGGGTTAGATTTCCCCACTCTACCTTCAAGGAAGTGATACCATAGCACCATGGGCTGATTTGTTCAAAGTCCACCGAGGAAAGGCTCCACAATAAGATTGCCTAGCCACTGCTGTCCCCTTGTCAGGTCTGGATGTGAACAGCATAAATATGCCAAGAAGTACACACAAACACATCTTTCTGAAACCACGTCCTCCACGTGCCCCAGTCTTTCCAGAGCATCTTAATTTCCCTTACTGAACAGTGGAAATGAACCATACTCACACCTTCTAAAGGACCCAGAGGACTGTAATTTCCAGAACTCTCCCCCAGGATCCATCTTCTCCCTGTTTCCTTTGGTCCCCTAAGTCAGAGAATTTCACATCTAGAGTTTCTCAGATTTAGTTGCTGCTGAGGAGGTTTGAAAACTCCTGGAAAAAGGAGGAGCTTGAGATGAAACAATAGCAGCAACTCCTCCCCAGGAGGTGGGGAGGTGGATCAGTAAGTACAGCACCTACTGCACAATGTAAGGACTTCAGTTTGAATCCCCAGCACTCACATAAAAGCTTGGTGGGCGTGGCACCCACCTGTAAGCCTGTGATGGAAAGCTGCAGATAGAAAACTCGCTGTACAAGCTCGGGAGGCAGATTATCTGAAATGTCAGAAAAACACACTTGCTCCAGGTTTAGCAAGACACCCTGTTCCAACATATAATATGGAAAGCAATGGAGGAAGACACCCACAATGTCTACGTGCACGCATGCATACACACACACACACACACACACACACACACACATGCAAACCACACACATGTTATATGCAAAAAAAAAAAACCCTCTTCAGGAGTTTCCAGTATTCAGCAAGGTCAAGTTTACAGGTCCACTGGCATAAATAGAATCAGCCTGTTCAACTGGCCCTTCTGCCAAGAAATGTGCAAGGTACTTAAAAAATGAGTGAGAAAACTTGACTTGCGTGGTGAAATTCATGCTGTTCCACAGCAGTGTAGTCTAAACAGTGGGTTCTTCACAGAGGCCAATCCTCACCCATCAGATAGACAGACTGCCTGATAAACAGCACAGAAGGAGAGGAGTCACGATTTGGTAGTAAAGATAGTGAACTTCCAAGATGGCTGGTGACTTCTTCACCCTCCTGACCTGAGCCATAAACCCAAAAGTTTTAAAATAAAGGCCTTTTGGGCTTTTTCTTCCACCCTGTGGACAGGCTCAACAAGTTCAAGGCCAGATCAGGGCCTGTTACACAACAGTAACTTTCTCTCCACTTACCTGCTGTATGTATATGTTTCCCTAACCCTAAAAGAGTCCTTCACCATGTGATTCTGTCTGTTCCTGTTAGGTGTGTTTGAGGACTTCTCTGCTGCTACCTGTCACACTCAAGAGTTTTCCTGCCTTTTAATTCTTTGACTGGCAGAGGAAATGAACTGGATCTTGAGCTCTTTGGGATAATAATCCACAAACAACATGAGCTGATGAAGTTTATTTTGTAGTTGCTCTTAGTAACCACTCCTGAATACGACTCTCTGCTGGGGTAATTAGGATTTCAGCCCTGGCTGAACACTGGAATTCCTGATAGGAAAGAACAGGTGCCTGGTATAAGTGTGCCTGGGCTCTGGAAAATTTTTATGTTTTTTGGTGGATTTCCTGGGTTCCTATTTGGAAAGTACTGCTTTTTGTAATTCTTTCATCAGAGTGTGTCTGAGTTTGGTGACTCTGGTACTCAGGAAGCTGAGGCAGGAGGATCACAGGTTCCAACACTAGCCGGGCTCTATAGTGAGCTTTTTCCTTTTTCTCTTTCTGAAACTTGTAGACCAGGCTTGAACTCACAGAGCTCTGTCTCTGCTTCCCAAGTGCTAGGTTGTTTTTCATTCAGTTCTCATCGTTTCACTGTTGAAAGTGTCTAGGTTCATAGCCCATTTCCTCTGCCTTGGAGAGGCTTTCTCTCTCCACACACACGCTTCCTGTGTAGGTGTTAGCTACCCACTCATCACTGCTGTGTGTCAGTGTCTGTCTTTTCTTTCTGGGATCTTTTCTCATTTTTTGGTCCTCAGTGTTCTGCATTTTCATTGTAAGAAATCTGTGGATTTATTTCTATTTACCTTTCAGGTTCCTCAGTGCTACCCTCCCAGAGGTGTTGCCCTCCTTCACTGTTGGAAAGCTGATGTGATATGTCTACTTCTGCACTGATCCCTAGCTTCTCCGATTCTAGAACTCCTGTAAAGACTCTATTGATGTGTCTTTAATTTCCATACTATTTGTCTCTTACATATTTTCTACTTCTCTTACTATTCTATTGGCATTACTTCCTTTTTTGTAGAATTTTCTGCTTCACTGATTCTCTCTTTAACTGTGTCCATTTTAAGGTTTAAACAACTTATGGGGTTATCTTCATACTTAGAGTATGGGGTTTTGTGCGTAGACTCTCAATCAGTCATTTGTATGGAAGAATTTTCTTTTTATCTGCTTGAGTTATTTCAGAACATACCATTATCTTTTTCTCCTTATCATGATCCCTCCCTATGTGTCTCTGAAGATTATCTATGTAAGTCCTTTGTTATTTACTATGTCCTTTAGAGTTCCTTGTGGAAATTCTTCCATTTTTTTGCACCTGTTACTTTTTCAAGGCATCATGTTTCCTCTCAGCCCCTGAATGTCATTTTGTATGTGTGTCTAGCTGTCTCTCTTAGCCCACTGTGGTAGACAGGCTTTGTGGTCAACTCTGTTCTCAATTCTCTTCTTTTACAGTTGAGAAAGCAGTCCTTATTCAGATCAGTCCAGCCTCATATACATACCCCTGCCTTCCTAGGAAGAGCAGTTTCTAGGCTCTGGCACACACAGGTGCTGTATCCCAACAACCCAACAGTAATTGGCTGGTTGCTTGAGGATGCGTACCCTGCGTCACTTTATCCATACAGACTGCTTCCAGCCCTCTGTACCCCCAGTCCCAGAATACGACCTTGTCTCCCATGAGGACAACATGGAGAGGAAGCTGTCTAGGTGAGTGCAGCTTTGTGATTGCCACTTCCCACCCTGCCAGCTCATAATTTAGATGATAACATTCCAAAGGACTATAGTGGCTTAGGGATGGCTCTTCAGGGGCACATGCAGACTACCAAGTGTTAAATAATCCCTTGTTCTCATCATGTAAATCTGGGCTCAGAGGAAGTTCCTATTGATGACACATCATTTTAGTGACTTTCTTCATGAGTAGAAGTTAGGGGCGTCATTTTCCAGATCATTCTGTACAATCATAAAAGAATGTTGATACATGGCTTTATAGAATGTTTATGGAATGACTCATTACTTTTTTTCTTCTTGCTGAAGGTAGGATGGCATTTGGAGATCACCTCAGTTGTAACTATTCCGATCACAGTAAACTTAGAGCAAGAGACCCAGAGGTCAGTCAGTGGTGACCTGTTACATTCTGCAGCACAGAAGAACAAAGAGGGTGAAAGGAATGAGGGTGTACCAGCCTGGGAGACAAGCACAAATCATTACTTGATACATTAACTGCACCATATATAGCACAGCTCGGTCAGTGGTTCTCACTCACCGACAAGCAGAGATGTGCAGAGCCCATCAAACTCTGTGGTATGTTAGTGACTTTCTCGCTGCCTTGACCAAATGTCTCATAAGAAGCTTCAGAAAAGAAAGGTTTCTTTTGGGCTCATAGTTTGACAGGATTCAGTCCATCGTGGTGGAAAAGGCATGGCAGTGAGCAGCTTCATGATGGCAGGAGCATGAGGTCACATTGCATCTGTACTCAGGAAGCAGAGACTGGATGGGAAGTGGGGCCTGCTGATTAGAAAGATAGAATCTCAACTCAAAATAGCCCTGTTAGAGTCTTTAAATCTCCCTACGAAACTTAACAGGCCAAGCCTTCATCTTGTTCTGCTCTCAACATTATTGTCTTCCAAGCTCCTACAGAGCATCCCATTGAGATCTCAACACTCAATGACTTTTCTAGCTCAAAGATCCACAATCCTCCCAAAAACATGATCAGGTCTGTCACAGAAATACCCCATGATCTTGGTACCAATTTAATTAATGAATTAATGTCTTAATTAGGGTTTATATTGCTGGAGTGAAACACCATAACCAAAAAGTAAGTTGGGGAAATAAAAAGTTTATTTAGCTTGCACTTTGTTATTACTGTTCATTTTTGAAGGAAATCAGAACAGGAACTGAAACAGGGGAGGGTTCTAGAGGCAGAAGCTGATGCAGAAGCCATGGAGAGGTGCTGCTTACTAGGTTACTTCACATGGCTTGCTCAGTCTGCTTTCTTAAAGAACCCCTGACTACCAGCCCAGGGATGGCACCACCCACAATGGACTGGGCCCTCCCATATCAATCAGTAATTTAAAAAAATGTCTTAGAGCTGGATCATGTGGATACGTTTCCTCATCTAAGGCTGCTTCCTCTCTGATGACTCTAGCTTGTGTCAAGTACACACAAAACCAGATAGTACAATGTGCATATACATAAATAACAAAAATAACAGCAACACTAATTTTAGAAAGTCCACAAACACATGGAAATTAAACAGTGCTCACCTGAATCACCAATGGGTCAAGGAAGGAATAAAGAAAGAAATTGAAGACTTCCTAAAATTCAACAAAAATGACTGCACAGTGTACCTGAACTTATGGGACACACTGAAAGCAGTGTGAAGAGGAAAGTTTATAGCACTAAATGCCTACATAAAGAAACTGGAAAAATTCCACACTAGCAAGTTAACAGAATACCAGAAAGATCTAGAACAAAAAGAAACAAACTCAACCAGGAAGACCAAATTGAGAGCTGAAGTCAACAAACTAGAAACAAAGAAAACAATACAAAGAAGTCAATGAAACGAAGAGTTGGTTCTTTGAGAAAATCAACAAAATAGACAAACCTTTATCCAAACTAACTTGTTTCAGGGAGCTGGCTGCTTGTTCTTCCCCACTGCCCAGCTAGCTTACACCTGAAATAATCACACAAGAACTGTATTAATTAAGTCACTGCTCAGCCTATTAGCTCTAACTTCTTATTGGTTAACTCTTACATATTAATTTAACCCATTTCTATTAATCTGCATATCACCACAGGGCAGTGGCTTACCAGCAAAACACGTCTATCTCTGGTGGTGGATCCATGGGGTCTCCCTGACTCCATCCTTCTTTCTCCAAACATTCAGTTCCATCTCCCAGCCTACCTAAGTTCTGCCTTCTCAACAGGCCAAGGCAGTTTCTTTATTCATTAACCAAGAAAAGCAACACACACAGATGGACCTCCCAGACCACTAACCAAAAGGCAGAGAAAAACTATCCAAATTAATAAAATCAGAAATGAAAAGGGGGACATAACACAAGTCACAGAGGAAATACAGAGAATCACCAGGCCATACTTTGAAAACCTGTACTCCATAAAATTGGAAAACTTAAAGGAAATGGAAAATTTTCTGGATAAGAATCCTTTGCCAAAATTAAATCAAGATCAGATAAGACCCATAACTGCTAAGGAAATAGATACAGTCATCAAAAGTCTCCCAAATGAAAAAAGTCCAGAACCAAATGGTTTCAGCTCAATACTCCTCAAATTGTTCCCCAAAATAGAAACAGAAGACACATTGCCAAACTCTTTTTACGAGGCTATAGTTACCCTAATACCCAAACTACACAAAGACACTAAGAAAGATAATTACAGACAAATATCACTCATGAACATTAGTGTAAAAATACTCAATAAAATACTAGCAAACCAAATCCAAGAATACATCAGAAAAACATCCACCATGACCAGGGAGCCTTCATCCCAGAGATTCAGGATGGTTCAACATCCAAAAATCTGTCAATGTAATCCACCATATAAACAAATTGAAAGAAAAAAACCCACATGATCATCTCATTCGATGCTAAAAAAATTTTCAACAAAATTCAATACCCCTTCATGATAAAAGTTTTGTAGAGAACAAGGATACAAGGTACATGCCTAAACATAATAAAGGCAATATACAGCAACAAAATCCAACATCAAACTAAATGGAGAGAAAACTCAAAATGATGCCACTGAAATCAGGAACAAGACAAGGCTTTTCACACTCTTTGTATCTATTCAATATAGTACTTGAAGTTCTAGTTAGAACAATAAGACAATAAAAGGAGATCAAGGGGATACAAAGAAGAAGTTAAACTCTCACTATTTGCTGGTGATATGATAGTATACATAAGAGACCCCAAAATTCTACCATGGAGCTTCAATAACTCATAAACACCTTCAGTAATGTAGCAGGATACAAGATTAACTTAAAAATTGGTATCCTTTCTTTATACAGATAATAAATGGAATGAGAAAGAAATTAGGAAACATCACCCACCATAACAGCCACAGATAACATAAAATATATTGGGGTAACTCTAAACAAACAAGTGAAAGACCTGTATGACAAGAATTTTAAATCTTTGAAGAAAGAAGCTAAGAAGAAACCAGAAAATGGATCTCTCATGCTCTTGCATAGGTAGAATTTACATATGAAAAATGTAAATCTTACCAAAAGCAATCTACGGATTCAATGTAATGCTCATCAAAATCCCAGCAAAATTCTTTACAGACCTTGAAAGAACAATACTCAACTTCATAAGGAAAAACAACAACAACAACAACAACAACAAAAAAAAAAACCCAGAATAGTTAAAACAATACTGTACAATAAAGGAACTTCTGGAGGCATCACAATCCCTGACTTCAGACTCTACTATAGAGCTACAGTAATGAAAATAGCCTGGTATTGGCATAAAAAGAGACAGGAGGATCAATGGAATCAAATTGAAGACCCGGATATCAATCCACACACCTATGAACACCTGATATTTGATAAACAAGCTAAAAAAATGTAAGATGTAAAAAAGAAAGGATATTTAACAAATGGTGCTGACATGACTGGATATCAACACGCAGAAGAATACAAATAGATCCATGTCTATTACCATGCACAAAACTCAAGTCCAACTGGATCAAAGACCTCAACATAAAACCAACCACACTGAGCGTCATAGAAAAGAAACTGGGAAGTATACTTGAACGCATTGCCACAGGAGACCACTTCCTAAATATAACCCCATTAGCACAGACACTGAGAGAAACAATTAATAAATGGGACCACCTGAAAGTGAGAAGCTTCTGTAAAGCAAAGGACATGGTCAACAAGACAAAATGGCAACCTATAGATTGGGAAAAGATTTTCACCAATCTTACATCAGAGAGCAGACTGATTTCTAAAATAAACAAAAAACTCAAGAAACTTGACATCAAAAGAACAAATAATCTAATAAAAAAATGGGGTACAGACCTAAACAGAGAACTCTTAACAGACAAATCTCAAATGGCTGAAAGACATTTAAGGAAATGCGCAACATCCTTAGCCATCAGAGAAATGAAAATCAAAACAACTCTAAGATTCCATCTCATACCTGTCAGAATGGCCAAGATCAAAATACTGATGACAACTCATGCTGGAAAGGATGTGGGGTAAGGCAAACACGTCTACATTACTGGTGGGAGTTCAAACTTTGGAAATCAGTACAGCAGTTTCTCAGATAATTAGAAAACAGTCTACTTCAAGACAAGCAATATCACTGTTGTGTATATACCCAAAGAATGCTCAATCATACTACAAGGATATGTGCTCAACTATGTTCATAGCAACATTATTCTTAATAGCCAGAAAGTAGAAACATTCTAGATGCCCCTCAACTAAAGAATGAATGAATGAAGAAAATGTGATCCATTTACCCAATGGAGTACTACTCAGTGGTAAAAAAATAATGATATCTTGAAATTTTCAGGCAAATGAACAGAACTAGAAAAAAACACATTGAGTAAGGTAACCCAAACCCAGAAAGACAAATATAATATGTACTCACTCATAAATGAATTTTAAACATAAAGCAAAGAAAAACCAGCTACAGTTAACAACTCTAGAGAACCTGGACAACAAAGAGGACCCTAAGAGAGACATGTTGAAGGAGCTGCGGGCTGTGTTCCTGCCGCCCCAGCTCATGGTTGCCTGGCTAGCTTATGCCCCGAAATAACAACACACAAACCGTATTCTTTTAAACACTGCTTGGCCCATTATATCTAGCCTCTTCTGGGATAACTCTCGCACCTGGACTAGCCCATTTCTAATAATGTGTGTAGCACCCCAAGGTGCGCTTACTGGGAAGATTTTAGCCAACGTCCATCCTGGGTCGGAGCTTCATCGCGTCTGCCCAGGAGAGGGGAGCATGACATCTGAGCTCACTTCCTCTTCTTCCCATCATTCTGTTCTGTTTACTCCACCCACCTATGTTCTAACCTATGAGGGCCAAGCAGTTTCTTTATTATTTAACCAATGACCTTCCTCCATCAGAGACATACATAGATCTACATAGGAAGAAGAAAAAGACAAGATCTGAGTAAATTGGGAGCATGGGGGTCAAGAGGAGGGTAGAGGGGGAGAGAAGAGAAAGTGAGGGGATCAGAGAAAAATGTATAGCCCAATAAAAACAATAAAATAAATATTTTTATTGATAACTGTTTTGTTATATGTAATTTTACTATGTTAAAGCTAAAAACCTTGCTTTTTTATTAATCAGAAAAGGGGAGGGACCTGTGGTGGTGTTGGGAAACGGCAAAAGCTCCAGGTCACTGAGCAAGAATGTACAGAGGCCACAGGGGCTCAGTGAGCTTTCTGCCTTCTGTTTTTCACCAGATGATGCGTTTATTTGGAGGGAGAAGCATCTGCATATTATATTCAGATAAAATTAGTGTGGACCATGAGGTAAACACACAAGCTGAGAGGGAGAAGAAGCCAGGTGGATGACTGCACACAGAGACCTGGCTCTGCCAATGGTGAAGAATCAAGGTGAGAGCTCTGTCAGGTACGGAAGACATCACTTGAATATGTCACTATTCAAAAGACACCACATTTTTTCTCTGCATGATAAAGTGAGTGATAGGAATATTTAAATGTCAGGGATGAAGCTGTAGCTCCAAGATATAGTGCCTGTGAAGATGGGCAACTTTGAAGGCAAGTCCTACTAGGTAGGTAAAGCACCAAACGGGAAACTCCAAGAATGCTTTCTGCTGAATGTGTATCACTTCTGCGCCGTCACCGTGTTAGAAAAGTGGAAGGCCAGTCTGCACTCATCCTGAAAATGATTAATTTTACTTAAAGGATGGGAAATTCTCTCTCCCCATTATATGCTCTGCGTCCTTTCCAGGAGCCACCAGCACTGTGATTTCAACAGGACTGAGCAAGGCCTTGTGGCTTAGCCAAGATGAAGCCAGGCCTGGTGTCACTGCTTCTCAGAAACAGTCACATTGCATGCCCCTCTGCTGCAGCAAGATCAAAGGCCCCTGAGCTAAGCTAGGGTGGCTTCTCTTTCTGGACTGAGCCTTCCCATCCCTCTCACGTAGCGTCCTGCCACTCCAGAGCAGAAATGATCTGAAGCTGGGCACAGGCAATCTAGTTTCCTTTGTCACTGGTCAGCAAGGCCTCTCTGATCCCGGGCTAGTGCCCTTTACGGTGGCCCCTTTCTCCAACCTTGACGTATCACCCGCAGCACGGGCAAATTCCACCCACATGTGGGTTGGTCCTTTGAATTCCAACTCTGTCCCCTTGTCCTTGTTCTATGAAAGCCACTCTGCACAGATGTGTTTCACCTTTTTTTTTGTGAAAACTTTGGTGTCTCAGAAATGAGTTATCTTCCTTTGCTCCTCCTCTTTAATGGTGCTGAGCTTCAGTCCTTTGTGTGAATTTTGGGATCAGTTTGGAGTAACTCTTAGAAAGCTCTCAGGAGTTTTACTCAGAGTGATGTTCTGTTTGTAGACGAGGTTGGGAAGAACAGAATTGGTGTTATGGTATCCTCAACAGTCTTCTGATTTATTGACACAGTGTGGTTTTACTTGGTCAGTGTGACATCTATATTTGACAGTTTTCTCATG